GAATAATTTATTTAAAAATATGTTCAAATAATATTTTTTTAAATGTATATTTTAAGGGTGGGCATAGTGGTTCATGACTGTAATTCTAGCACTTTGGGAGGAGGCCAAGGTGGGAGGATCACTTGAGCCCTGAAGTTCAAGACCAGCTTGCGTAGCATTGCGAGACCTTGTCTCTGCGAAAAATTAGCCACATGGTGGCATGCATGCCTGTAGTCCCAGATACTCGGGAGGCTGAGGTGGGAGGATCTCTTGAGCCCAGGAGTTTGAGGTTACAGTGAGCTGTGATAATGCCACTGCACTTTAGCCTGGTCAAAAGAATGAGACCCTGTCTCAAAAAAAAGTACATATGTATCTACATCTATATATCTTATTGGCATTACAATGTATCATTTATTATACTGTTACTATGAATAGGATACTTATTAATTTAATTATCATGTTTGGTATATAGAGGTCTATTTTCTAAGCATAGTTATTTTTTAAACCTCTACCTATTAAACTCTTTATTCACTTTGTTATATAGATATATATATATATAACTTTGTTATATAGACAACCATATTCTATCTTGATAAAGATATTTTTTGTTTTTTGTTTCCAATATTTGTACCTCAATCGTTTTTCTCTTTGAGTTGCATTAGCTAGAAGTTTCAGAAAAATGCTGAATGGTAGTAATAGCCAGTATTCTTTTTTTTTTTTTTTTTTTTTGAAACAGAGTCTCACTTTGTTGCCTAGGCCAGAGTGAGTGCCATGGCGTCAGCCTAGCTCACAGCAACCTCAAACTCCTGGGCTCAAGCGATCCTTCTGTCTCAGCCTCCCAAGTAGCTGGGACTACAGGCATGCGCCACCATGCCCGGCTAATTTTATATATATAAGTTGGCCAATTAATTTCTTTCTATTTATAGTAGAGACGGGGTCTCGCTCTTGCTCAGGCTGGTTTCGAACTCCTGACCTCGAGCAATCCGCCCGCCTCAGCCTCCCAGAGTGCTAGGATTACAGGCGTGAGCCACCACGCCCGGCAGAACTCTAATTTTTAAAGTAAAATTATCCTGATATTATTTCATTTAACTTAATTGCAAGCTTGTGTCCAGTTTTCTATTTTCACCCAAAATTACCTTCATGGTCTGATTATCCAGAAAAAGCAAACTTCCTTATCTCTAGAAACATCTGACCTGCACACCCTGAGTGTGCAGGCAGAAAAAGGTGGTTAAAGGATTTAGACTCCTCTTCAGTAGCGTTGAACTCTGGTCTGGAAGATCCTGTGAAAAACTAGATATGTCTACTAAGAGGCATTTTTAGGCTTTCAAATTTTTCCTAGGAGGATGATGTAAATTAAGATCCAAGATTATTCCCATCAGGAATGCAATCTGTGTAGATTCCCTCTACCCAGATAGTTTTCTGAACTCATGCTGCTTAGCCCTGCAACCCTCTGAGTAGAAAACATTCATAGTTATGGAAGGATATGGGCCAGGAGAATTACCCAAGGGATTCTTGGCTTCTTCCATGGGATTCTGCAGATTCAGATCATATAATTGGAGATGTTAGCACTGGAAGGGACCATCAACATTAGCTTGCTCCAACTCTTAGCTTAACAGTGAGAAAAACTGTCTAGAAAAGGGAAATGGCTAAGGTGACACAGAGAATGTAGGTAACATGCTGGGATAAGACCTCGGGTTTTATGCCTTTCGATTCAGTATTAATTTCACTGTCATGATGGCTTACTCATTGGTATTAGGTTTCTGTTATCTAAGTGAACCATTAAGTGAATTCCATCTTGATTTGTGTCTGAAAAAATTAATAACCTATTTTATTAAATATACAAATTCAACATTTCTCCTCCTTACATGCAAGCCTCTATTTGTTTGTACTATTTCATGTGGTAGCAAATTAGGACATTTCTTGTGTCCCTGAAAATAGTCTGAGTGACAGAGTACAGGCAACTTTCATGTACCAAGAATATAGGACTATGTTTCTCCCAGGTGTTACAGGGTAATTTTTTGTAAAGGAACACACTTCATAGATTAAGCTAGGTATCAGTTATCATTGTTTTCTTTTCCAAATAAAAGAAATCAGGTGATATCTGTAAATGGTTCCATAGTAAATATTAGAGGACATGCTGCTTAAAATAGATTAGGGAAAACTATAGAAGGAGCAGGGGATTTTTAGTGCGATTTTGTCCTTGAATGGTAATGGCTCTATGTGGTGGTGAGGTTTATGTTGGTTTGCTGCTTGCAGATGTTCTTATTATTGGAATTTTCTCTACCAAAAATAAACTGCATTGCATTCTATGAACGTGTGCCCTTCCAGAATGACACTAACAGTGTCTTTGTGAAATAGCCACTGTTGTTCAAAGGATGAGTATGTCCTTTATTGGTTGAGGAGAGATGGCAGCTAACTCAATCATGATGATATGTAAAATTGGCATTCCAAGTCAGGAGTGGCGATGTGAGCCTACAGTCCCAGATCTTGGTGAGGCTGAGGCAGGAGGATGGCTTGAGCTTGGGAGTTTGAGGCTATAGTGTGCTGTGATTGTGCCTATGTACAGCCCCTGCAGTCCAGCCTGGGCAACATAGCAAGACCCCATCTCTTAGGAAAAAAAGGCATTCTGTTTGGATTAATACAAATTTCAATTATTTTGTTAAAAACTTCAACTGAATAACAATTAAACAAATAAATCCATTGTGATAGGGAAAACAGGTTATGGAAAATATAATGGAGATACAATGGCAGGGTGTTTAGTTCAAATTATTCAACAGAAAATAAGACATATGCAAGCCTGTACATTTCTAACTCTAAAAATTCTGTGCTATAGCTCAATTGCTAAGATACTCATCTTTTTTTCTCCAGAATGCTCTTTGCCCCTTTTGGCATTCTATAGATAGGAGTTATTCCTTAGATTTATTTATGTAAATTTTTGCAGCGCGGTATTTATCAGTGGCTCTTTTATTATATTGTTTGATATAGTCTCTATCAGGAGCTCTCTCTTTCACTCTCACCCTTTCTCTCTCTCTCCTATATACATATATATGTTAGGAGAGGAATAGGTTCTGAAAAAGGAGAAAGGTGTTTATGCTAATAATAATATAAACAACTGACTTCATTAGAAGCAGTCACAGGTCATATCCTTCTAGTCATTGTCTTACAAAGAACAAGAAATGATGCTTTATCTGGCATGCATGGTAAACAATGCCCCATGCTCTCTCGTTCATGGCCACATACGATACTTCCAACATGGGTAGCACATACAAATCTAATGCCCCTGACTACAACTCAAGAGAATATTTTATCCAAGTGTAAACTCACTAGTTATGAAAAAAATAAATCAAAGTAAATGTGATATTGATATTTGTCAATGAAAAATAATATAATATAGAAAAATGGGGGATAAAATATTAATCGAAAAATAATTTTAAGGATGAAATATTGCCACTGTAAACAGATCATGAAAAATTATATTTGTAGTGCAGATATATTTATGACATATTTATCATATAATTTTAAATCCAAGATTTATCTTAACTGTATGCTTTCCTAATTTAAGGAGTTATTTTGAAATAGTTATTTACTCCAGAGAAAGTTTGACATGTGCATATGGAACTTTATAAAAACGGACAGGGCAGCACCTGCACTGATTGCAATAGCCTAAGAGTAGAAACAATGCAACTGTCCCAATGCAGGGCAATGGGCAGATAACGGGATTTATTCACAGGATGGCATGTTAGACAACACTTAGAATAAATGAGTTGCCTATATAAGAATCAATAGAGATATATGTCAAAAACACAGTATTAAGGAAAAAAAGTTGCAAAAAGTACAGTATGATGCCATTTACATAAAATTTAAAACCTCAAAAACAATTCTATATATAGTCTAAAGATGCATACTGATGTAATAAGAGTACAAAGCATGGATAAAATGATACACTCTAAGAAGTAATTTATGCACTTACTTTTTTTAAAAATAAGCCCTCTTCAGTGGATATGGCAAACTATTAACACATTATACCTGAGTAGGAGGTTAGCAATTTTCTTTTCAGCATCTGCCTGTCTGCTATAATTCAAACTCACATTTAAAATATGGTTATATGAGATGAGAGAACTGTAATATTCTAGGTTCATGATTAGTTTGGAGACTTTTTAAAAGTTTGAATGTTTTCTTACACTCAGAGCCTTGGTCTACACAGTTAATTTGAAGTAAAGTATTATAAAACAAGCACAGCATGAGCTGCTGTACAACGCCAGCAGTCAACCAATGACAGCTGTATATAGGTTAGGAGTCTTTGTGGGGATGAAGTTAATGTAGAAAATGAGGTCATCTGTTGAGTATGAGGGGGATGGTGGTAGTGGACACCTGAGGTTTAGAAAAAGTAAAATCACTGTAGAAAATGGAAAAAAAAAGCAAAGTAAGGGTTGAGGCAGAGTGATGCTGAGCAGTACTGGGGGGTGGCGGTGGTGGCAGTCAGGCTTGGAAATACACATTTGAAATGAAACCATGCCTACTCTGACTCTAAAAGTTGTTATGAAACCAAATGGGAAATATTTTAGAAACTGTTAAGTGCTTTGTAGTTGTTACTAATTAACAAACCATTTCAGAAACTATACTTTTACTTTATGACAACTATTCACCTTTTAGTTAAAAATGCTTTATACATAAACTTGTCTCCAAATGCCTTTTGCTATAACCAAATACCAAATCTTACTTCAAAGTATCAAGATAGTAAAAATAGTGTCAGGAGTTTCATATATGGTATGGACCTCCATGTAAGCCCATTTTAAGTCCTCTAAAGATGAAACTTCTTGTGTTCAAATTGTGAAGGTATTTTATGAGAGGGAAGTGAAATTTAATTTTTCTGGTTTTTTTCCTTCTGCAGGAAGTCACCAAAGCAGTGCAGCCTCTCTTACTGGGAAGAATCATAGCTTCCTATGATCCAGATAACAAGGTGGAACGTTCCATAGCGATTTACCTAGGCATAGGCTTATGCCTTCTCTTCATCGTGAGGATGCTACTCCTACACCCAGCCATTTTTGGCCTTCATCACATTGGAATGCAGATGAGAATAGCTATGTTTAGTTTGATTTATAAGAAGGTAATACTTCCTTGCACGTGGTACATGTATCCTTTATGGTACATATTTTAAATGCCATGAATTAGGTAGTGTGCCCTGGTGCAAATAAAGAATAAATGCTGAAATTAATTTTGTATGCCTGTGAAATAAATGGTAGGAATAAATGTTTTTAATTGTCCTTGATAATTTAATTCACTTCAGCTGATAATTATTGAGCACCTTCTGTAAACAGCCTATATTATAGGTTTCATTTTTGTTTTTTTCACTAGTCATATCATTTTTTTGGAATCCATGATTCCCTGTTAAAATGACTCCCACCGTCTGCATGAAAGTCATTGATAAAATATTATTTTATGGTATCTTTATGTTCAATGATAACAGTATAATAGATAATTGTTAATGATAGATTACCCAAGCAATAAATGTTTTCACCTTAACTAGTTGTGACAAGTGGTAGTATCCACTGCCTTGTTTTGTCATTCTGTGAGTGAGTCCTACAAATTTAAAGTTTTTGGAACAGTCCATGCATTGAAACTATAAGAACCTATTCTGCTTTTCTGTATGTGTTGTTCAGACAAGAGCCCAATTTGCTAAAGCATGATATAGGTGAATTGAAATTAACATTTAGCTAACTTACAAACACAATTTAACATCCTTTCAATGGCATATGCTTTCACCAACCTGATGTGTGTGACTACTTGGATCTACCAAGTCATTACCAAAAGCTGTTTTTGATTGACTCATTTGGATACTGCTTTACCCTTCTTCTCTTTTTTTCTTCCCCCAATATAAAAAAATATTTACTTGGTTTATGAGAAGCATGGATCTGAAATTCACCTCTAGCAAATACTCCCTAACACTTCCATAATACACATACAAGGTCAATTGTGTTATAAAACCACAAAAACCATACTTTGTTGTTTGGAAAAGCCTTTTATGGAGGCAGAGGGGGGAAAAATGGAGTTCACAGTTTAATGAAATCACCTGAGCTGCAAGCTCAGTAGTTTATAATTACTGGGAAAACACGGATGACAAATCAACAAAAATTTAATTTTGATCCAGACATTTTACATAAGTGAAGAAATTATTAGGTATTATTTGGATTTTAGACTCTATACAGCTTGCATATCAAAGAAAGTTGAATTCAGTATAACAAATATTTATAAAAAGTGATAACTAATAGCTAAGAATGTGCATGACAAGCTTCTAGTGATTTAGGTATACTATCTCAGTGATTCTCCCCATGACTGTGTATGATAGGTACAATTAGCCTATCTGAAGGATAAGGAAATGAAGACCTAAAAAGTATAGAACACTGGGCAAAAACTGCTTCAAATTTTCTACAATAGGTAAATCACAATCTGCAAAGCGGAGAGTTTTCCACCTACTAGGGAAAATGAAATAAGTACTGAAATACAGTGAGGCAGAGAGTGTTACATGGGAAGAGAGAGGCATGGGCTAATAAGGAGGTGAGATCAAATAAGGAGCAGGTTAGTTTGTAAACGAGACTATATGTAACATTTGGCACAAATACAGCAATGTGTGTCTGGTTTGCATTAATGAAAAGTTAGATGCTATGGTATCTGTCTTTCTTTCTCAACATAGAATATCTGTTCTTACCTGGTTTGCTTTCTTTCTCCAGACTACATTGTCATCATCACCAAATAATGTGATTATCTCTCCATGTGGCTCAGGTTTGGTGCCTAAATTGAGCCTTTGTTGGCTCTTCCCAGATCTTCTCCTTTCCGATATCTAACCCGTTTCATCTTTGTGGCAGTGATATGTAGGACTCTTCCTATAACGTTCCAAATTTTGTTTTGCTTTGTTCCAAATCCTGCAACATTATACTTTAAATAATGAATTTAAATACAAACAAAATTGAGCTTTGCCTATGGATTTCAAGTGCAGAAATAACTAAATTGACAAATATTCACTGAGGGCCTGTTGTTTACATAGCTTTGTGTTAAACTCTGTACAGAACTCAGAGTCACCTGAGGCTGAGTCTGTTACTAAGTCATGTGTAATCCAGCTCAATGGATCTCCTCCCTTCATGTTGCTTGGATAATGTTTTGAAATAAACTGCTTTGATTCCTTCTCATCTCTGCTTATCTGTATACTGTTCATTATTCCAAGTTCTCAAGTTCTAACTCCTCGATACAATCTTTCTAGATTTTTCTAACCAGAGTGTGAACTTTCTCTTAACCACCCTATTATTTTCTACTTCTCTTAACTCATTTTTCGTAGCATGTTTAGGTATTTATGTACTAGGTTGCCTTAAAGCAAGAATTATGTTCAATTAAACCTTAATAATCCCTGAGGCATCAAATATAGTGATTTTCATCTACTAAATTCTCACCAAATATGTGAGGGATTCAGTTGAAACAAATATTAGATGGGTACTTTCCAATCAAAGCCTCTAATCAAGCAGCAAATCAATTCTTCAATTCTATGGCAAATTATGACTGTGATATTTCATCATTAATTTACCTTAATAATTTTAATTAAAATTAATTTGTAGATAAATAAGTAGATAAGTTAATTTTGCACATACTGTTATTTTTTTGTAAAGTTTAAGGGTTTTCTATTGTTAATATAATTTTTTGCAAAATAATTAATGATTCAGTTATTCATAATATACTTCTATTGACTTGAACAGTAATTTTATTCAAAAGAGTACTAAGGATGGATGAAAAACTAAGATGAAGGTTTAATCTCACATTTTACTGCCTTTGGCTCCATGTTTTAAAACAAAAGCAGAAGAAACCTCTCATATAATATAAATGGATATTTAAGTACAATATCATTTTCACTGTAGAGGAGAAAAAATAATTATTCCTGTCTAGATGCTGCAAAATAAAACAACTAGAGTCATACCAGTATAATATTTAATGTAAAGAGAAATATTTATAAATCTGAGAAAATACTAAGCTAGATGAACATAAAATAGTTCATCAAAAAGAAAAACGATTTACTACCTTTACTTCACGCATTCATGGTAACAAAATTCCTCAGCTGTATTATAATGTTATTTATAAATATATTTGTCTTTTGTCTGTTGACATCATCTAATGTCCCATTTTTCTTTTAGATTTTAAAGCTGTCAAGCCGTGTTCTAGATAAAATAAGTATTGGACAACTTGTAAGTCTCCTTTCCAACAACCTGAACAAATTTGATGAAGTATGTACCTACTGATTTAATCTCTGTTATTGTTCTAAATCTTACAACCTGCACGATGGAGTTTTCCTGGGTCAGATGATAGCAATAAGTGTTTACATCATACTTATCTCCACCTTCCCTATTCTGGAAACTGAGAAAGCTAAATTGTGTAGCCAAGTGTCATTCTGAGATCTGGTGGAACCACCTAACTCAAAGGCACCTTAGCTTACTGTTAATAGGATTTTTCAAAACTTAATCCTTATCAGACCTTGTTTCTTTTTAATACTTTATATTTTTTCTTTCTTTTTTTTTTTACTGACCACTCATTCATCAGTCACCTGTTAATACTTTAAATTAGTATTTAGTTTGGCTGAATTTGATACTCTGAGCAATTATTATTCAGTGGTATCTTATGTGACAGATAAACCCAAGGTCCTTGAGGAGAGATAATGTGTTTTATTTATCTTGGCATTTGCCATACTTAATGTAGCATCAAACCCACAGTAGGTACTAAATTAATTACTCTTGAAGTGAGCACATATTTATTATGAATATCTCTGTCAGATGATAGAGTTGTGCAGTTTTATAGATTGAGTCTCTGGGGAGAGTCCTTTATTCTCTCATGTTCTATACTATGGCTCTTGTATCTAAAAACAAACAAGTTATATAAAATAAATTCTAGAGATGATACTTAAGATATCCAATCTCAATTCCACTGAAAAAATATATTTACAAATGCAATGACTTCAATTTGCTCCTTAGGAAAACCTAGTCTATGTATAGAATGTTTACCCACATTGCTATGTGCTCCATGTAATGAATATCTAGATTTTAAATGCTCAGAACCATGAAGTGTTTGTGTTATAAGCTCCCTGTGTTTGCTTTCTTTCCCATATGATTGTTTGTTTCTGGGGATGGAGGTTAAAACGCCACTTGTTTTTTTGCTTGTATTTTCCAGGGACTTGCATTGGCTCATTTCGTGTGGATTGCCCCATTGCAAGTGATGCTTCTGATGGGGCTGCTCTGGGAGTTGCTGCAGGCCTCTGCCTTCTGTGGACTTGGGTTCCTGATAGTCCTTGCCCTTTTTCAATCTGGGTTAGGGAGAATGATGATGAAGTACAGGTAGAGTCTATTTTTGTAGCTTGAAATGGTTTAAATTCGGTTTTCAAAAAGCCCACTCTACTAAAACCAGAACTGCTTTATGCACTGAAATGTGATCTATAGGGTGTCACTAAAAAGAAATTATTTTAAATGGTGTAAATAATTCTTTGTATATTAATGGGATATTTTTTTGATTGTTGGACTATAGAATGCATTTGTAAATATGATAAAATTCAATTCACTTTTATAGATCATAAAAATGGTAAAACATTTGTGTGAATTAGAGGGAATGCATAAATTTTGTGTAGAGTTTATTGGCTTTTACTACTCTAATTTATAGATCATCACACCAGAGTCTCACTTTGTATCACAAAATGAATCAGCGATACTTGTCACTGCTTATGATAGTGGACTTCTCAAGTTTGTCAGCTAGACTATGACAAAAAGTATACAAATTTGGGGATCAGATAGCTCTTATTGAATCCCAGATCACACACTTACTAGTTATGGGACCTTAGTCAAGCTATTTCACTTCACTGAGTCTCTGGTTTTTCATGTTTAAAATGGAGATAACAACCTTTCATAGACTGTCACAAGGATTAGGGATAGTGTATGGAATGTATCCAATAGAGGATCTGGCACATAGGAAGCATTTACTAAATGGTAGCTATCATTTTTATTACCAACTATTTGATAATAAAATAAATACCCATCTGATAAAAGAAATGTCACTTTTCTTAATAGCTTGAGCAGTTCTTAGTAGATTATTTTGACTTATTTTTACTATTACTGATTGATTGATTTACAGAGATCAAAGAGCAGGAAAGATCAATGAAAGACTTGTGATCACCTCAGAAATGATTGAAAATATCCAATCTGTTAAGGCATACTGCTGGGAGGAAGCAATGGAAAAAATGATTGAAAACCTAAGACAGTAAGTTATTCAGTAATTTCAATATTATTAGCATTTTTATCTTAATATTTTAAAAAATGAGTCTGTCATAGTGAACTTCCAGCTCATATTTGAAGTTTTTGACAGTCAAAAATTTGTATTAAATTATTTTAATATTCATGCCTTATATAAAGTAATTTTCATGGACTATAATTTTATGTAGTTGATCTAGTGTGTTATTTTGTATTACAAGGATATTTATACTTTTTGAAAGACTCTCTTACATGTCTTCATAGCTGCTTAATATTAATATATTTATCTGATTAAAATAATGATCATGATGCTGGAGGCTGATTGATACCTCAGATGGAATTGCTACCATGTACAATTCTGAACCAAATAATTCATCCTCTGTTTACATTTTACTTAATTTATGTTATGGTGCATGAAAAATGGAAAAAAAACCTTTGTCTGGTTAAAATAGGTTTGTTCTTAACTTAGGAGTTATAGCACAGGGTAATATTCATAAACCATGTTCTTACAAACCCTCCACTTCAAGTGAAGTCAGTTCAAGTCATAAAAGCCACTTCCTGAGATAGGATCAGTACTTGGCACCTCTCTCTAGTGTTCTTTTGCCTCATATAACCTTTCACTGATTAGCGAAGATTATATCCAGTAAAAAAAATACAGCATAGATTGAGATATGATTACTGAGATAATTTTGGGCCAAATATAAACTAGAGCATTTTCTGTAGCCGTGAGACCATTTTTCTTTAGTAGAGTTCCATGTTCTACAAACTTCAATCAAAAAAGAGTCTAGGAGGCTCAGTGAAGTTTGATATACTGTTCAAGGGACAAATAATTTCAGCACATGAGAGTTTCACAAGGAGAAATATGCTAAAAAGAAGAGTGTCATTTTGGATGGTGTGAATATGAGTTATAAGGAATTCAGGCTGTTGAGTCCGGTCGACAATGGTAACTGAGCTGCAGGTGTGTGATTGGAACAACAAAAGAAATACTGAAATGCTAAGTCCTTTGCCATGTAAATAGAAGGAGTAAAAGAGTATTTATTTCCCAAACATTATTGGTCACCTGTTTTTGTTATGCCTTTCAAGACAAATCCAGGAAAGGAATTGCATTTTCCTTCCAGAAACATCCTTGAAGATCTTGGGGAATTGTTCAGTTGGTAGAAGTTTTTTTCTCATTAACAAGTGGATGCTGCATCCTCTTGTTCCCTGCATCATGCTTAGGCTTGTAAATACAGCCATGGCAAGGACAACCAGGAGGGTATCAGAAGATCCGGTTTTCTCAAGCCTTATGATAAACTCATGACCAGATTACTCTTGGTGCTGACTTTTCTTGACTTTGGTTTTTATTTTTCCCTCTTCCTCAAAAGATGAAATCCATCTTCCCTACTCTGTATTTCAGTTGAAGCAATTCTCATAGCAAATGTTTGGTTCTGACTGTATAAGCTGGCGTGAAATTGTTACCTGAAAAGGCTGGGAAGTGCTGACGTAGATATGGGAAACCAAGAATTGCTCCTACTCAAGAGAGCAAATATAATGTTCTGGAAGAGATTGGCAGGATGTGCTTCAAAAGAGTGATTATCTCAGCCTGGGCCACTGTTGTATGGGTCAAAGGCTGTGCAAAGCTCCCTGAAAATTTATACTTTTATTTCTCTTTGGTTATAAAGTCATTTTCACTTTTTTATAAGAAACTAGTAAAATATTTTATGACTCCTAAAGTGTTAGTGATTTTATTATGAAGAATATTACATTCTGGGTGATTATTACAAATGTTCTTACACCTATTATGCCTTTATTGTAGTACCTCTTATTTTTCTCAATGGTTTCAACAATAATTTGACAAATTTGTTAACATTTTATAAACAGGATTTTCTATCATTTTGTTAATACCAATCTAGTCAAATTTTTCTTTTTCTGTTAAGGAGAAAGGATACACATTGTAGATTATAGTGTTGTAAGTATTAGATCTTTTGCCATGCTCTCATTTAATCTTGACAACAACTCTGCAAGGGACTTGTTATGCTTCCCTTCTATAGATGTTGATTCTGTAATATAAAATCAGAGAGAAGAATGACTTGCTTAAAATGGCATAGCTATAACTGGCAAAGCCAGGATTCAAATCCAGGTGAGGTTCCAAAATCAATGCCAAATTACTGAAATAGGTAAACATTAGACCTGTTTAGACTGTGAATCACAATCTAGATTGGGCACATTGAACTCCAATATCTTCATTAGTATGCTCAGATTACATTTTTTTTTTCAGACTAGGAAGAACAAAATCCCCTCTGAGTTCTGCACTTGAGAATGAAAATTGCTTTTCTGAACTACAAAGCGAGTGGAACTAGAGCCCAAATGCCAGGTGCCCCCCTGCACTATGCCATGGCACAGCTGTTGCCCCTCCCATCAGAACCTCTATTTGTCTGTGTACTCATTGCCCTTTCCCTGTGTAAGAGCTGGATGGGGAGGATCACAAGTGACTCTAGTTTTTATGGATCCTGGAGTGGGACTTGTTTGAAAGCAGCATTGTCCTCTGCATTCCCTGTTTTCTTTTGCTGAAGTAGTTAAGCCTCACATATGTGTGAAAAAAGAATTCCCATTTGCAGTTCAGACTAGCAGATTGAAAGTATAGTATAATGTGATTGCAATAATTATACTGAAATGAGATAGACAGAGGATGTGGTATCTACTTGCAACAGGACCAGGTTGTTTTGTTTTTTTTAAAATGCAGATTCTGGAAACCTACTGACACTCATTCACTCAATCAGTATCTCTGAGAGGTGGGCCTGAGACTGCATTTTAATAAGTAGCTCAGATGATTTTTCCACATGCTAAGGTTTGAGAACCACTCCTTTGTGGTTTACTTGTTATTTTCAATGTTCCAAGCTAGAATTTGTAAAGTGTTAAGAATCCATTAGGTATTAACAGAATTGTCTTTTTCCTTTATAAATCTTGCAACATTGTTTTCATTTCCACACTTAATTACTTAAAACACCAACCGACCAACAAGTTGATAATGAATAAAGGTAAAAAATAATGTTATAATAATAATAACAATTGAAATCATTAATTATAATTTAAAAATAATATTTCCAAGTATTATGTGCAAAACACTGGTGCATTCATTACTATCCCCCTTCCAGATAAAGTAACTGAGGCCCAGAGAGGTTAAATGACATGCCCAAGGTCATGCAACTCATACAGATAGGTTGAGGTCGGGATCAGAACACAGGTAGAAACACTCTAGAGATCATGTTCAGATTTTACATTCCAAGATGCCTGATATTTGAAAAGTAAAATAACATGCAGAATATTATTATTATTTTTTTTATAGAACAGAACTAAAACTGACCCGGAAGGCAGCCTATGTGAGATACTTCAATAGCTCAGCCTTCTTCTTCTCAGGGTTCTTTGTGGTGTTTTTATCAGTGCTTCCTTATGCACTGATCAAAGGAATCATCCTTCGAAAAATATTCACAACCATCTCATTTTGCATTGTTCTGCGCATGGCGGTCACTCGGCAATTTCCCTGGGCTGTACAAACATGGTATGACTCTCTTGGAGCAATAAACAAAATACAGGTAATGTACCATAATTGTGCATCATATACTATGATTTTGAAACATTTTAGAATTTTTCTAGCAGGCAAACTGTCTAGAGATGAATTCTTAGTCTCGGGCTTATTTAATGCATAAGATTTCCACTCTTGATGTGTATATGTGGTCTAATGAGCCCTTGTAATGAATGCCTAGTGAAGTGAAATGAAAGCCTGTGAGCTTCTCTTAAGTCAAAGAAATTGAGGAAAATTGTTTCTGTACTTTGGAGGATTTCGTTCAAGTAATCAGTCAATAGATTGGTTCAAATGAACTGTGCAAATATGCAAAAAGATCTAAAAAGAAAATTCCTTCACTAGAAAGTTTTAAAACTTTCCAGGTAATACTAGGAATGTTCAGCTTAAACTTTCCTAGCATTTCCCTAGACACTATGATGGATGCAAATGGCATTTTATGCCAAATTACCTTAAAATCCCAGTGATGAGATTGATGTAGCTGGCAGCTTTGAGGTGAAGTTCTAAAGTCTTAAGGTGACGAGGCTCAATTTATGCAAAGCTAATTGAATGAACTTGTGTGTGGTTAATAAACATAAAAATGTTTTATTGTGCTTTTTTGATATTTAAATATTTAACCCAGAAAATAAGTCACTGTGACAGCAATAAAAATGAGGGGTAAAGAGCTAGAGAACAGAGAAGAAAAGGAAGAAGCAAGGCAAGATCAGGCTTTTTTCATTGCTTCATGTGGCCAAGACTTAATCCTTCCTTTTGCTCTCACCCTCCCTAGAAAAAGTGATTCGGAGTCTCTGAAGCACCCTTCTCTTAGATTCACTGTTTGATGCCTTAAAACTAGTTATATAACTTCATACCTTTACTTAACCAGCAGAAGTGATGCTGAATATGCCTCTTAGTAAGAGGGTGCTGTAAAGATGCAGACATTCTTTTTCTTTGTCCTAATGTTGAATTGAGGCACATTCATCACTAAGGTTAATGTGTACAGGAAGACTCAGTTGTATGTTACAATTTAATGTGTGAAACACAGCTTTATACAATATCACATGTTTAAAGAGTATATTTCAAATATAATGAATCCTAGTGCTTGACAAATTAATTTCAGAACAGTTATAAAATTATTTTATTAAGAAATAATTTCTATTTAATTAAAACCATATATAATATGTAGCACCATTAGAGTTGTAAAATGGATGTATTAAATAATAATACTTTAATAATATTCTGATTCTACAATATCTTTGCTATCTTTTTTAAAATAGGATTTCTTACAAAAGCAAGAATATAAGACCTTGGAATATAACTTAACAACTACAGAAGTAGTGATGGAGAATGTAACAGCATTCTGGGAGGAGGTCAGAGTTTTTTTGTTTTCTGTTTTTAATTGTTTGCTCTAAACACTTAGGCGTTTTCATCTTTGTGAATCTAGATTTTATCCTGATAGAAAATAAAGTTAGGATGATGATATAATTGGTAGAACTGAAAGGAGGACTTCTCCACATGTTTTGTAGATTAAGAAGTAGAGGCCCAGGAATATTAAATGCAGTATAAAAGCCTCTTTATTTCTAAATCATGTAATTTGTTTTACACAACAGATCAGGAAATAATACAGAGATCATAGGTTCTGGAGCTGGGTTTCAATTTTGGCTCTGTCATTTATTTTCTGTGTAATCTAAATCAAGTTACTCAACTTGGTGGGGCTTCTGGCTTTCCATCTGTGAACTGGAGAATATTAATGTTTACCTTACAAATTTGTTGTGAAGACTAACTGAGATCATTTATGTCAAGTGTATCAGAGTACCATACACATAGTGGTTCTGCAATAAACATAACCTTCTCTGATGTCAAGATCCAGTCCAATGTACTTTGTATACACCAGTCAACAAAAAGATATATGAGAGATATACCAATATGTTGTTTTCTACTATTTTTTGCCTATATCCTTTTACTATTAAAATTCTCTCATATTGCTCAATGTCAGAAAAAATATTATCAATGATTTTCAGCCTCTAAAGAAGCAATATTTGATTATTGAGAACACATGTATTCCCATTTCCTTATCTCTTGTATCAGTTGAGTAAAGGTAGGAGTTACAAATCCAATGTCCTATTTTTAAATTTTCTTAGTATCTTAAATTGGATTTATTTATATAAGTAACTTGACCACGAGGGCTTCCTTTTACTTCATTTTTAAAGATATAGGTAAGAAAATAATTCTTTTAGCTGCCTAGCAAAATTGTTTTGTGGAAAAATATGTGGATCAGATTCATTTCACTACTTCATTTTTAGGAATTTCAAATGTCCTTCCAGGCATGAAAGAAAAATATGTAGCTTGACATTTTTCACTACTACTCTTAGGTCATTGTTTTCCTACTCTGGTGCAAAAATCCTTCATTCCTTTCTTACTCCATCTGATAAAATAGGTAGCATGCTTGAGCCCTTACTATGTGCCAGGCACTAGGATAAGCACTCTTTGTGTTTTGTTTCACTTAGTCCTTTGGCCTAAATAAGATTAATATTTCCATCTTACTGATAAGAAAATGGAGGCTTCAAAAAGTTAAGGGACTTGGTTCAGTTAACACAACTGGCAAGAACTGAAGCTGATTTTTGGACCCAAATGTCACCCAGTCTAGAGCCTTTTCACTGCACTGTTGCCTTCCATCTGGCTGTGTCCTCCTCATCCAGTCTTTGTCATCTAAACTCGGGGCACTCCTTGATGGTATTTACTCATGATGGTGATGTTTTTGAACTCCTGTTTGACACTACAGTGTCCACATGAGCGATTCTTCCAATACTGTCCTTAGAACTTATATTTTCCAGTGACTTCTTCAGAAGCTTTCTCTTTTATTCATAACTTAAGCTTTGATAGCACCCAGACTTACTCCACTTTGGAAATGTCACACTCTGAAATCTCATTCTCAGCCCAGAATTTCCTAATTCTCCAGCTCTCTAAGTCTCTTAATTCTACCTTTTGTGCCTTTCGATTTCATCAAGATTTCTAGTTTCATTAATTTTTCCTTTTGGACCCCTCCTGGTTTAATCTTCTAAGGCCAATAATTTCAACTTCTCTCAGCTACACTCTAAATTCCCTTTTCCTTTTGCTATTTTTTTTTTCCTACAAAGCTTTTGCTTTATCTGCTTTGGAGAAGGAAGTGCTATTTGGAAAAATCATACACTGTAATAAATTGTAAGTTATATACATTTATTGTTGCAACCTCAACTAGGTCTGTAATCTTTCTCGGGAAATCTTTTTATTTGTCTTTAGTTAATTTTTGTTACTACTTCCTTGTAAACTATTCCAGATTTTTACCACTTTCCTGTAACTCACAACCTCTCCCAGGATCTGCTCACCTTCGGTAAATGGGCTTGCCTTCCACAATACATCAAGAAAATAGAGGCCATCATCATGTATGAATGCTTCCAACTTTTCTCTTCACCCCTGGAATTATCTTTTCCTCCTTTCTTCCTAAGAGAAGATATATGCTTCTTCCTGCCGTTGTCCGAACTATTCTGGCTTGCTTCATCTTCTCAGAACATGGGGCAAGCAATTATTCTCTCTCTAGAAGCTTCAACATCTTTTCTCCACTGAATCCTTCTGACACTTAAATATTGTGGAGTTAAAAAATGCTTTCCCTGACTTTTGCCCACCCAGCCTCATCCCCTAAACCTTATCAATCTTCCCTTCATTGTTAAGCCTGTTCTCACTTCCTCACCTTTTGTGGACTTTGTAATCTGAATTCTGCTTTAATCAATCTATTAAAACTGTTCTTTTTTCCCTGGAATTTATCAATTAATTTAGTCTTAGTGAACTTCCCAGATTATTCTGGCCTCAGGCCACCACTTCCAAGTCTGCCCCACCTGCCACTTCAGTGCCAGGCCTCCTTCTGGCATTTCATGCTCTCTGGGGCTGACCTCTCCAGGCTTAGCTGATGTCAATGTGCTGAAGACTCGCAAATGCAAATCGATAGCCCCAGTTTCTTTCCTGAACTTCATCCACGTGTTTCCAAACTTCCTGCATGTTCCTCAAGCACTACACATTCATCACTCCCCAAGCTTCTTAAACCTGCTTGTTCCAGTATATTCTCCATTTCCTTTGATGGCATCACCCAGGAGGGAAGTCCCTGAATAGTTATATATGACTCCTCTCTGGTTTCAAACCTGTGAGTAGGTAAAATTCTCTTTATGTATAAGGAAGCTGAGGTGTACACAGTTTAATTAACTAGAATGAGGTTACACAACTAGCTAGGGCTGGGCTAAAATATCAGCTAGGTTTCTGTAACTCCAAGTCCCTTTCCCACTCACCATTTTGTCACTTATCAAAAAAAAAAAAACAACCCAAAAAACTATTGCTTTACGGTATAAAAATGCTTTCACATATATTACCTCATTTAGTATCCTTAACAACTCAGGAAACTGAAGCTGAGAATGTTGTAACCTGTCAACCATCACCCAGCTAGTTGGGAAGATGAGACAAAGACTGGGACAAAGTATATCATTACTGTTCTCCTGCCAACTGCAGGGAGCCCATAAACATAGGAAATAGCCTTTCTAGGGATCAAATAATTATAAGTAAGATCGATAATGAGATTCTATTTCACCTATAAAACTACAAAAAAAAAAAAAAAAGCCCAAACCAAACCCCAAAAAACAGCAGTGTTGATAAGGGTTGCTGAAAACTAGCACTCATACATTTCTGGAGGAAACATGGAACACCTTTTCAAAAGACTTGGAATTTTACATACCTTTTGCTCAGGAAATTCTACTTGAGGGAATTTATGCCCCCCTCAAAAAAAGGATGTGCCCAAGATTTACAGCAAAGTATGTGCATTCACAGAATTATTGACTAAATATTTTTAAAAAGGAAACCATCTAACAGAGAACTGTTTAAAGTTTATCCATAGCCTATGATACTGTCCCGCAATTGAAAATTATAATAAGAAGAGTGTTTAATGATATGTGAAGATTCTTATGGTTTACTATATGTCAGACAAAACAGGTCACAAACCTTGTTATTTATATATTTATATATGTAAAAGAGTGAAGGGGTATAAATTGAAATGTCAAACGTGGTTACTTCTCAGTTTTATGACTACAAGTGATTTCTGTTTTCCTTTTTCTGCTTTCCTGTGTTTTTCAAATTTTGTAAAATTTGTGTCTTCTTTAATCAAAATGAAAATTTTTAGTAACAACCTTCTGTTGGTCCAAGCGCTCATTGGATAGAAGTCCCACTTCTAAGCATGGCACTGAAATTTTTGATTTAATAGCTTTTGTCATCTTGCTGTGTATATCTGACCCAGCCACTTACCAGTCCTGAGATATATTTTGTTTTTTTAAGCCTAATCATTGTGCATGTAGATCCATCTTTCTGAAACACCTATAACCATGGCTTGGTCTTGTGAAATACCACTTACTTCCCTTATAGCCTAGCATGTATGTCACTTACTTGGTCATGGTTGAATCAGCTGCTCTCTTGAATGTACTCCCATAGGACTTGATGTGATTTTTAGTTGTAGCACCAAGAACATTGCAATATTAATACTATTCATGTGTCATTCTCCTATGTGGGATTTTTAAAGTAGTCTATAATACAGAGGGGGTGCGTAATAAATATCCGTTAGATAAATAAATGAATAGGGGAATAACAAGTGCCTTTGTCTCACTTTTTACGATTTTTCATTGCCCACCCCTTACAAACTCCACTTTTAGTTGTCTGATGTCTGATTTTATCTGCTATGTGATAAGAACTCAAAGCAGTGGTCTTCAAGATTAATTGTTTATGTATGCCCAAAAAGAATTGTGAAAGCTTATACACCCCTGACACATTTTTAACTTAACTCATAAATTTTTCAATATAAGGTTTTTAGTGGTGGCTAAGGATGCAATTTTCTGTTTATTTTATGTTGTCTAAGTATGTTAAACAGATTTTTGTCAAAACCTTAAAGCTGCAGTTTTAGTGCATTCAATTTATGGAAAAGAAATGAATTTGTGAAGTCAGTTGTCATTGTGAAGACAATCAGCTAAATGCAAATGGCTTTATGTCAAAAAATGTATAAAAATGCAGATAATAATCTATATAATTAATTTTTTAATTATTAAGAATTAAATGATTAATCAGTTAATTAATTGACCAATGGAAATACTCAACGCACTTCTGAAAATTGATTCAAACATGTACTTACCAGCAAATTGGTTTCACTGACCAACACCTAAGTGGACATATAGGAATAACATTTATCGGGTCTTGGGCAGGTGGGAGCGGGGAGCAGGGGATGGGTATATACATACATAATGAGTGCAGTGGACACCATCTGGGGATGGACAGGCTTGAAGCTCTGACTTGGGGGGGGAGAGGGGCAAGGGCAATATATGTCACCTTAACAATTGTACCCCCATAATATGCTGAAATTAAAAAAAGATAGTTATAAGATGCATAAATTGCTTTAAGTTTGAAATCTGGATGAAATAAGATCCTGCCTCCTTCAGTATTTCTGTGTTTTCTTTTATGGGAGGATTTTTCAGGAGAAAATCATTCCCTCATCTTACCCTTGTTTTGAGTCCCAGAGAAATTTTTATACTCCAGAAAGTACAACAGTTAGACTAGTATAGTACTCACTGATATGATAGGCTGTCTCTTCTGTGTAAAATAAGAAAAACTGTGAGAGTGGGTCAGGAGAAATAACAACATGCAAATTCTTGGGCAGGTTAATTTTGAGAAAGAGTGTATTTAGGTGTTGAGAATGTGGAAATAGAGCCCTTCATAGGTGCACCAGCTTCCCCCTGATCAATCTTCAGGGCTGTTTACATTGATTTTAAGACCACTACATAAAGCTTCCCATGGGGGCAATAGAGAGGCAAGTAATTTTCAAAAGGTATTTATTTATTTACTTCTCCCCAGCTACCCTTGTATAAATGAATTCATTTGAGTCATCTGGCAAACTCTTCACATTTATATTCAACAGTAATTACTCAAAGAAATGCTGTGAGCTTCTCAGAGGAAGGTGCTACCAGCGTGATAGAGTAGAAGTCAGATTTGGGTTGCAATTCTGCTTTGTGACCTACTTGTTATGTGATGTTAATCATTTAATCTCTCTGAGTCATAGTCTATAGTTTTGAAGGAGGAGAATTATAAAATTTACCTCATATATTATGCTTAAGATTAAATAATAATGTTTATGTACCCAGCCCATAAGCAAGGTGTGTGTGTGTGTATTCAGTCTTTACCTAAATAAATTTTTAATTAAATTTGATAATGGGAAAGATCTGAGAAAGGGTAATTATGTTTTCATTGAATATTATAATTTTAAAATTGTTTTGGATCATGGGTTCTAGAAACCATGTGTTATAATTATATAATATAAAGTCATAATGTATACAGCATAATGGATCATGTGCCATGTGCTTTTCAAACTAATCATATGTAGAACAGGTGTATCTATTGAAAATATCTGATCTATCTTTTATTTTTGATTTTTTTAACAGGGATTTGGGGAATTATTTGAGAAAGCAAAACAAAACAGTGACAACAGAAAAATTTCCAATGGTGATAACAGCCTCTTCTTCAGTAATTTAGCACTTCTTGGTACTCCTGTCCTGAAAGATATAAGTTTCAAGATAGAAAGAGGACAGTTGTTGGCAGTTGCTGGATCTACTGGAGCAGGCAAGGTAGTCCCTTTAATTGCTCACTGTTAAGAACTTAATGTGGCATACATTTCTCCTTTATTTCTAATTTGTCTGCAGTGTAAGAAGGTATTTTGGTGAAATTCTTATACAGGTATTAGGAGAATGCTTCAGTATAGTGTCCCATATAATACAAATTGTTCTCCTGATAATTTTCTCTAGTTTTTTATTTCCTTGTATTTCCAGTGACTTTTTCCTTCTACAACTGTATTTTGCATACCATTTAACACAGTGTCTTGCACATGGTGGCAATTCAATAATTTTATTGAAATAAGCCATCTATTTTAACCAATATTTAGCATGGGCATTTTTTCAGAGCTAGTCCAGGAAAATCATGGATTACATTTTATCCTCATAGCCAATGAGCAAAAGGTCCTCAGTTTCTTGACATTAGAATTTTGGAGAAGGGACTTAGACTGGCTTATAATATATTATGAGGTAAAATTATTGAGTGGGATGGTTTTTTGAGGAAATACATAAGAATGTTAATTTATTCAGTGCTAAACCTCCCCTCCACACCTCAACCTAAGAACAACTTATAATAAATGTGAGATATTTGGAGATACATCTGACAAAAACTAGTAGGTTAGAAAGAAAAACAGCTAAAGGATCAAACTTTATTGTCAGGAGAAGAGAAGACTTTATAGTGATATTCAAGAATATGAATTATGCAGATAGTGATCAACACTTGTTCTCTTTTAACTATTGAGGAAATTCATTTAAAGGACAGGAAGGAATCAAATTAGAGATAAGAAAGTGCTTTCTAGTACTGGAATGGGCTAAAGGACAACAGATACGTGCTTTGGAAGTCTATAAAAGTAGGTCCTTCTTCCCATTTGACTGTCATTTTAGGTGTAGTACTTTCTAGAAATACAGGAAAAAGTTTAGGGGCCTCTTGAAGTTTTCAAAATGCTTTCTAGAACTATACCCAAGGATGTAAGAAAAAGAAAAAAAGAATCAAAGAGAGAAGGAAGAAAGGAAGAAATGAAGGAAGGAAGGAAAGAAAGAAAAGAAGGAAGAGGGAAGCAATACTTCTAGAGGTAAAAATGTAAATAGAAAATAGAAATGATGAAAGACTTGTGAAAGGCAACTGTTTATTAATATCTGAGATGGAGAGAACCACATTTTAAAGAATTTAGTCTGAGACCTGGGAAACAAAATGCCACAGAAAATATCTAGTCAATAAATTTCGTGCCCACAATGCAAGTAATACAATTTGCTCATTTCTCTCTTCAATTGTTTTCCTGCAGGTGAAACAGGCTTTTATATAAGGTAGCTAGAGTTGTGCATTTATTCTTTACAAAAACATTTTCCTTTTAAGAGTATCATTATTTTTCTTCTATTTCATGTATGCTATTACTAGCAATTTTCACCGTTAAAGGAAAATTATACTATAGGAGAAGATGATACTAAAGAAGTTACAGCTGATCTAAACATGGATCTTTGCTTATGAGAAGATAGTAATTGTGTTTCATAGAATTTTAAAAATTAATTCCATTTATGTATTTAAGATCAGTTCTATGAAAGATGTGCAAAAATAGCATTGGAATTACAAAATACAAGACTTACTGGCAATTAAATTTCAGGCAGTTTTATTAAAAATTGATGAGCAGATAATTACTGGCAGGTGTTGCAATTGCATCTTATGGGAAGCAGCTAAGAAGACAGAGTCAGGTGAAGGCAGTGGTCAGTTAGGAATATTTAAACACTTTAGAAGTAGAGTTTGCCATCTTAATCTAGGAGGCTGCATTTTTGTAGTATTATAGGAATGGAATATTAAGAGATCTAGCTAAAATATATGATTGAAGAATTGAAAATATTAACACTTTTAAATTAAATCTCACCCCACTCAATTTGTATCAAAAGCCTTAAAGATAATTTAATAATTCTTCCAACTTGTATGACTTACCCTAATATGTTTACAGAGATTTTATGTAAAGATCTTCATTATGACATTGCTTCAATAGCCAAAAGTTGGGGGAGAAGACCTCATAAATATTTAATAATAGGAGATTGATTAGATAAATCTTGGTGTAGCTATAAAAGGGATGTTAAAGAACGATGTTTAAAGATATGTATGGTATATTAAGTGATGAAAGACAACAGGTTATAAAATGGTATGCACATTAGGATTCCTATTTTATAAAAGCATATATATGTGTATGTATATATATGTGTAGAAAGATAAATGTATCAAATTGTTATCTTTGAGATTTTGAGTGTATTTTACATCTCTGGATTTTCCAAAGTTTTGACAATTAATATATATTATTTTACTGATAATAATGCCATGTTTAATTTTATCACTCTCCCTTGTTATAATTGAGTAGACTGTAAAGGTACTATGTCTTCTTCATTTTTATATCTCGAAGACTATCATAGTGACTTTATGCAAATTTAACTGAACATTTTTAGGAAAATGCTTTGAGTTTTTTGGTTCTAATCTATGCTAACTATCTCTCACACTTATGAAACTTCCTTTGATTATTTTAATGAAGCAATATTGGTGTAAGAGTCCACACCACTGGGTGGCCTTGACTGAAAGCAAGCTATGGCATCTCACCAGGTGTGGGGATTTTGAGTCCTTCTGTTGTCTCCATCACAAATGAAGCAGTTCTGTGGAGTTGTTTACAATACCTGATACCATCTTGTCTCTCATCTATCCTTGTCTCACTCTGGTACTGAGTGTTAGCTTGGTTTTATAATAAACAGGCATCAGATGTATGGAGTAAGCTATTAGCTCATAAATTTTCTTACTTTGTATACAGAATAAAAATGTCTGCAGAGTTTTATCAACATTTTGGAATTTGGGGAGAAATGAAATTAAATAAAAACATCATTGAATTTTTTTATATCTATTGATAGATATATAAATTTTGTAACCTTGATAATCAAATCAGATCTATTTCATGTTCGGGTTTATAAAGCCGTACTACATGAAAGTGTCACTTTTAGCTCTATTTTATACAAAAAGATTTTACATAAAAATAAGGTAATTCAGACTTTTTCCCTCCATATAAAAAGAATTATAAAATTTACTGAAACAGATATCACAAACATATCTGACCTTTCTTTCTTCCTAATATATTTTAGGTGCCTATATATGTATATATTTAGAAATAGTATCTTCTTTTTTTAATTTCAGCAAATTATAGGGGTGCAAATAAAAATAGTCCAAGATGATTTCAATTAAAAAATTTAAAAATAAAATATATAAAAAGTAGAAAATTCTCCCTCTCCTTTCTGTCTCTCATCTGCCCATTTTCCATTCTCTACTGTTCCCTCCCCAAACACACGTAGCCAATCTTGGTAATTTTTAAAAGATCTTTCCAGAGATATTTTTATACATATACAATCAATATATATTTTTTATTGTTATCCACCTCTCTTCTTTAAAAAGTAGCATACAATAAACAGAGTTTTGTTCCTTGCTTTTCTCACTTAAGTATATATCTTCAAGAACTTTCCATATTCAAAGCATAGAGAGCTTCCATATACATATGTACTGCTATGATGATCTGAATGTTTGTGTCCACCACCAATTCATATGTTGAAATTGTAACCTCCAAGGTGATGGTATTGTGTATGTTGGGGGGTGGCCTTTGGGAAGTGCTTAGGACTGCTATAAAAGGGACCCCAGAGAGCTTTCCTGCCCTCTTTTTGCCTTGTGAGGATATACGATGAGAAGTTGCCAGTTTGTAGTTCAGAAGAGGGCCCTCACCAGAACCTGACCTTGCTGGTACACTGATATTAGACTTGTTTATAGGCCACCTGGTTTATGGTATTTTGTTATAGCAGCCTGAACAAAGACACACACACACACACACACACACACTTAAATAGCTACATAGTATTCTATTATATGGATGGATATTCTATAATATGATGAGTGACTATTGATTGCCATTGGGTTGTTTTTAATATTTTTCTAACACAAAGAAAGACATTATAAATAACCTGTGTACATATTCTTTAGCACATCTGCAGGTATATCAGTAAGATAACTCCCAGGCTCAAGCAATCCTCTACCTCGGCCATTAAGTATATTGTTCTGTACTATTAAGTATATTCACATAGGTATGCAACCACCACCTTTTTTGATTTTAATTTACTGATTTTGTAGACATGTTTCATCTGAGTTCTATACTATTATTTGATGTTTCGTTTTATGTTTTTATTTCTTTTTTTTACAAAGTCACTGTATTGGCTCTTCGCCATATGTGAATATGTGTGCATTATGATTTATAAGACAGTCTATATTTTCATCCTAGTGGTTATATTTATAACTTTATGTTAAATTTTTCATTCTCTGTATCTTTAGTTCACTTACATGAGCTCTGATAAAACAGTGTTTTTTCTTCCTCTGCTATCTCCTTTTCTTCTACTCAATGTGAGTCAGTAGCATTATCTTTCTTAATGTTTATCTTTGTATTGTTACATATGCTTATGCTTCTGTCACTTGGTTTATCAGTTTTAAATATCCTTTGAATTCCAACTTTTCTTGATAAGGCAATAGGCAAATTTCCTCTATACTCCATATCTACACTTGTTTCCTTTGTTTTGTTTATTTGGTTTTTACTTCTTTTTTTTTGAGACACAGTCTGGCTCAGTAGCCCCAGCTATAGCTAGCTCACTGCAGCCTCAAACTCCTGGGCTCAGCCTCAGCCTCCCGAGTGGCCAGGACTACAGGTATGCACCACCACGCCCGACTATTTTTTTCTATTTTTTGTAGAAACAGAGTCTCACTTTTGCTCAGGCTGGTCTCAGAGCACCAGATTCTCAAGCAATCCTCCTGCCTCAGCCTCCTGGAGTGTTAGGATTATAGGCGTGAGCCACTGTGCCAGGCCTAACTTTTCTTATCATCAGGGCATATAACATTTGAATTTCGTCCTTCAACTCTAATTCTCCCATTAGTTTTAACTATAGTTCACAGTTACATAAATCTTTGCTCACTGATATTCCTTATGGAGTTTCATCTTGTGGATGATTTTACATATCAAGAAAGACTCATGGCAACAATATTACCTGAATATACCTCTTTTTTATATCTCCTCCCTCCTTTATAAGATGAAGATAGTAATGAATCTACCTTGTAGAATTATTGTGAAGATTAAATAAATCAATATAATTAAAGTCTGTACAACAGCATTCAGCATGGGGTAAGCACTCAATAAATGTTAGCTGTTACTAATCTTTCCCTGTATCTTCTCCAAACCTGTCCCAGTAACTTGAATCAGGTGCTTCTTCTCTGTGAGCCTCTATCATAGCACTTGCCACACTATATTGTAATTGTCTCTTTTATTCCCCTTGTATCTTTTGTGCATAGCAGAGTACCTGGAACTTAAAAAATTTGGAATCAAATGAGTTAATAGAATCTTTTAAAATCAGAATAGATACCTCTGCTTAGGATGATAATTGGGGGCACATGAATCCTGAAAGTGATTTGATCAAATGACTTAAAAATGTTTTTCTTTCCAGACTTCACTTCTAATGATGATTATGGGAGAACTAGAGCCTTCAGAGGGCAAAATTAAGCACAGTGGAAGAATTTCATTCTGCTCTCAGTTTTCCTGGATCATGCCTGGCACCATTAAAGAAAATATCATCTTTGGCGTTTCCTATGATGAATATAGATACAGGAGTGTCATCAAAGCATGCCAACTAGAAGAGGTAAGCAATTACATGCAAAATTTCTTATTATGCATATGAAACCTTCAAACTACCCAAGTTGTACATTTAGCTCTTTATTTAGTTGGTCAGCCTACATATATTCAAGTTTCCTCTATGGATCAGTTACTGTGGCTAGATCAGTTAATAAAACACATGACCTCTTTTTTAAGAAGCTTGCAAACACATAAAATAGATGCAATTTATTTTTTTAAATCATGGGCTTATTTTATCACAATAAAAACTCTTCATGAAGTGGTGAAAATTTTATTCACCCATTAGTGAGACAAATGTCCTCAATGGACATTTATGTGGCATGCATTTTTAAAAATATATGCCAAAAACTACATAAGAGGATTTTAATCATTAATAGCACAGCCTAATGGAATGACCATTGAGCTGCCAGTAAAGAATCAGAGAGATAAAATTGTGATATATCTTATCCTTGGCTTTGAGCATATGACCATATCACCTCTAGTGACAGCAATTCTATGATACAGAGACAAATTGAAGATTATTCTGTTGACTCATTCCATAACAATATTGAGGAATTAGCTGATTATCTTGAAATTATATAAAGTACTCCAAGTGAAGCCAGTATGTGGATCTTGTGCTGTTCAATACGTAAATTATATGATAGTGGGTTTAATAATTATTGATGTAAATGTTAGGGCAAAGAATGTATCACTATGAGGTTTATTGGCAGTATTGTCTGAATAGTACTGTCAAAATCAGTATCTTTGATAGTTGGAACTGGTCACTAATGGATTCCTTTATGTCACCTTTTATGAAAAAATTGCAATGGAAATAAAATGAAGCTTAAAATACAGTATACAAAAAAAATGGAAAAGGGCTAATGAAAGTTCTTACAAAAAAGGGCTGCATGCTATACAATGGCTTTCCATGTGTATACTGACTCATATAGCAGTTTTGTAAAGCCCCATTCTCTTATTTTCTGTACACTCTGAGATCATAATGAAAAGAAAAGATATCCTGTAAAAGTTTTGAATTTACCTTAAGAACACATTCTAAATTCCTCAAAAGCTCTTCTTCCAGGAATAGTATTTCACAACCTGGAGGTTGGAACAATCTGGATGTGTGACCCCAAAAAGCCTGAATGTCTCTAGAGAATACAGATTTTTGTCTAGGAGGAGATTGAGATGTAGGAGTGGTAGCATCTTGCAAGATAAATCACGGGCTTTATTTATTTATGAGTGGAAAGGTTTTGGACGATTTTTTATAGACTTTATTTTTTTGGCCAGGATATACCTTTTCCCATATAAATTTTTATAAATGGTAGTTTGATTTCCCCAAGTTAAGCCTATAAAAGCATATTTAACCCAAATATAGCTTAGGTATATTACTAGTAATAAATTTAGGGCTGTGGGTCCATCATTCATGGAATGGGTATTTACTAACTTTTGAACACTGTGCTAAGTCCTGGGGTTACCAAGTCAAATAAGCCATAATTCATTTCTGAAGGGTTCATAGTATAGTACCCTGTGTCAATAATGAAGGATTTTATGGTATGCAAATTATATCTTAGTAAAGCTATTAAAAATAATGAAAGAAGGAGGAGGAGAAAAAGAACACCATATTCTTCCTTTTTTTCTGATTGCTTGGTCAGCCTTGCAATTATTTTTAAAGTGTATAATTCAGTGTTGTTTAGATTATTCACAGGACTATACTACAATCACCACATTTTTAGCTTCTTAAAAAGGAAACTCTGTACCCATTAGCATTCAATTCACATTCCATTGTACCTAATGCTTCCCACTGTCAGCCATAAGCAATCACTAAATCCACTTTCTGTCTCCATAAATTTGGCTATTATGGACATTTCACATAAATGGTATTTTGATATAATACAATACAATAGGTATTTTGAGCCTAAATCTTTACAGTAGAAAACAATAAGGAGTTGTCATTTAGCAAATACTTATTAAGACTTGCTATATTTTATAAAGTGTACTACCAGGAGCTGGGTATGAAAATAAGAATAGGACATGATAGGAGGTATACTTTGGGGATTCATGTACTAGTGGGAGAGAGAAACACATCAATAACAAATCTAGTTGTTGCTCTAAAAGAAGATTAAAGAGGAATTTTTGTAGCAGTAAAAGGCGGAAGGATAGACTCCATCTGGGTCTGCCTATGGTAAGGAGTAACCTCCTTATCCAAAGAGGCACCAGACTTCTGAGGGACTGATTCAATGTGGTATTCCAAGGGTGACAAGATTGAAACTTATGGTTTTGGAGGAATTTTTAAATTAAGAACATTAGAGCTGTTAAAACAGTAGAGAGAAGCTTAGGTTGATTTGAATAAGTGGGAGATTGATGAGTAAATGGTCACTGGATTATTGATAAGATTAAATGAGGCGTATATATAAGGTGCCTATTACAGCATCTGGTACAAAGTAGCCATTCAGTAAATATTAGCTTGTTTCCACTTCCCTTTGAGGTAGAGAATACTATTAGAGAGCATGACATTGGAGAAATGCCTCTCTGAGAGTCAGTTCTTATTAGTGAGTGACTACTGTGGAGAAAACACAGAGGTTGATATAATCAAGGAGGAGAACCATGAAGCCAAAGAATTATGAAAAGTCATCAATATAAATTTTGATAGTGACAAAAGTGACTATAAAAAAATTATAAAGATGATCATTATAAATATGGTGGTTGATCTGTGTGAGACAACCAACAAAAGTTGGGCTAGTCCATGGAAGAAAACAGCGTGAGATCCTAAGGTTGAGAGGGGACCCCACTTTGTGTCCCTTTCAGACCTAAAGACTTGTGTGATTCCTGATACCAGAAATTGTTCACTGTGGTGAGAGTATGGTGGGTACAAAGTGAAAGCTTTATCATCTTTTCTATCAAATAACTTGTAGGCTGGTTGGGGGAAAACATACATAAAGAGACTATTTCAATATGATATGGCAAGTGTGGGCTAGAAGTACTCTTAGGGAACTATAGAAACCCAGCTGATCTGGGCAGTTCAGGGAAGCTATCTCTAAAAGCAGACACCTTGAAGGATAAGTTAAAGATAGAAAATGTATTCTGGACAGAGGGAATTGTATGAACAGAAACATAGGGCATGAACCACTTGGTTGGTACAGGGAATCACCAGTGTCTTGATAGAACCAGAGTGTAATTCCCAGACAGTTAGTGGGGAGGAATGAAGGTGGAGAACTATGTCATGGAGGCCTTGATTATTAGTCTTAGTCTTAGGAATTTGGTCTTGGAGAGCTTTAATCAGGAGAATGATATAATTGGCTTTAAAGTTTACATATGTCACTTTGGCTGTGATAGTGAGGAGCAGAGTTAAGGTGATTAGAAGCTTTTTGGAATAGCAGAAATTGAAATCTGACAGAGCTTGCTTACTAAAGAAAGTTATTTAACCTTGTTATATACCAAGTTTTATCCTCTAAAATATGGGAATAATGTTACCTATTTTGTAGAGTTTTGTGGATTCTTCTGGCTCATAGAAAGTACTTAATAAATAAAATGCTATTATTATTGATAGTACTATTTGATATTCTGATTAGAAGAATGGAAACTAATAGGAAGCTATTTCATTACTAAAATATGGTCATGACAGTCAAAAGGAGACAAAAGCAGAGGAATTGTGAAGACAGAAAATGTAATGTTCATGTACTATTTGCATCCATAGGAAAGGGCATCAAGGAATATGGCCCTTCAGGAAAAAGGTGAAGTACTTTTTTCCAAGAAATTAGAAGAGGAGAGAAATTGGTTTAAGGTTAAGGATTTCCTGCATGACAGAAGTTGGAAAGGGGAACAGGTAGAAATGTTATGGGCTTAGGAAGGAAGGACATGGAGGTGAACTGCATAGAACTGAGATATCTGATCACAGATTTTACTAACGAAGTATTAATAGATAATGCCACTAGGTGGGATTTAATAAATAATTGTTATTAATGATAACAACCTCCATCTAGTTTTTTGAATGTACGATTTACTCTTCTTCCTGTTTGCCTAAAGTGTCAAATGAAACATTCAGCTTTTTATTTCAAAGAATCCCTGAATCCCTGTTTCTTTCTGTCCTGCTGACTTTTGCAACTGATGTAGATCTTCCTAGTCTTCATAGATAGATAAAATCACCCCAGCATTTCCTAAATTCCTTGTGCTTTAAACTGGCAATCGTGGTGAGTACAATGAGTAAACTGGTATAGAATTAGTATATATCTTCATTATGCTGAATGTTTCATATATGTTGCTCTTATCTATCCAACTACATGGTAAATTCCTTGAGAACAGCAACTCCAGAACTGTATGCTCTGCCTGGCACATTGATAGAGTAGTAAATTCTTGTTGGATGACTATTTCAGAAATGTTTTGAAGTAGGCATGTCACTTGTAAGGATTTTGCTCAGCAAATATTCTTCTGCCTCACAGTCTCAGAGTTTAAGAAGATAATTACATGGTAGCACATGATTGCTGGAAGTAACAAAGGATAGTGACTGAAAGTGCTAATCTCTCTAGACATTCAAAATCAAAAGTTTCTCCTAATCTCAGTGACTTAAGAGTTTCTTTTCTTTCTTTTTTTTAAAGATATTCACAGAAACCGTGAAGGGTTTCCGTTTTTATGTCTTTGCTCTTGTTATTAAATAAGTGTTCTCACCATTGAGAAAGGCCCATGAGAACTCAACACAGTATAATGCCTATGTGTGAAATGAATGTTTGTTTGTTTTAAGTGTGGAGGAGTTTTGATCATAGATACCTACATGAAATATGTACAGAATCCTTGATGGTTAAGCAGCTGGTGCCAGCATAAGAATACCTCAGTGTATTCTCTATGTGGCCCCTAACACCAACTGCAAACATTCATGATTCAGTATGTTTTCATTTTGACTGCCAATGTTGATCTGTTTCTTAATGTGTTACATCTAGAATTGGGCCGGGAGATGAGAATGGAATATTCTCTTCCTCATTTTTGTGTTTTTGTTCAGCTCTAATATCTGCAAAGCACTTGCGTATGTAATCATGC